AAGCCTCTCTTTTGTAGACAAGATAAAGTATATGGAGTATCAGGAAATGTACATGGTTGCAAAGTATAATCATCATACTGACTAGAGTCACGTTATCAAAACCACCCTGTCCCACCTGCTTTCTTCAAGATGCTCTGAACACTGGGGCATCCACCAAAGAACACACTATGCTTGCTCTGATCCTGGACATCAACTGAAGATGCACTCCTCAACTGAAGATGCACTCCTCAGCACTACAGCAGTCCTGAGGATTTCCCCACCTGAGGAACAACCCAGAAAGGGGATGAAGAGCTTCCCAGACTGAGCCAGGCTCATCAACAAGGTTACACTAAGTATTTGTGAAAGCTGACTCCTCCTGCTCCCTCAGCCCTCACCTTCGATTCCACCATAGAGTCTAAATAGCTCTTAGATCTGCCCACTTCTCTGCATCTCCACTGCCATCAGCCCACTCTAATCTCTCACCTGTCCCATCTCCAAAAGCTTCATGACTGGCCTCCCCACATGACAGGCCAGTGCCCGTGGTGTCCTGGTACCAGCTCTTCTGAGAGCAGATTGTTAAGTATTCGGGAGTTCAGTGAGACCTGCTTGTTAAACTGTCAGTGGGTTGAAACAAGCCCTGGTGGAAGTAGTTACCCTGTGGAGGTTGGTAAACACTACTAATCAGGATGTGATTTCCCAGCACACCAGGGCCTGGGCCCCTTCCAAACTGTTCCTGCAGTCAAAGTGAACCCCCTTCCAACAGCTTCCTATTGCTCTTCAGATAAAAATATAAGCTCTTGGCAGGGTCTCATTGTTACCTTCTCTGTTCCAGCCTCCCTTGCACCTGGCTCCCCTCTTCCTCCCTTCTGGGCCCACTGGCCTTCCAGTCCCACCAGCTTGCCAAGACCTGTCCCACACAGGGGTTCTGAATAGGCTGCTCCCTCTTCCTGGAACTCTCCTCCCACTCTCCCAGCTGAGCTAAGCCTGGCTAAGCTGGGCCAACTTCTACCAATAACTCAGAGTTCTGCTTATGCACCACTTCCTTGAAGAAGCCTTTCCCTGACCTCCTGACCGATCACTGCCGTGGGCCCCTCTCCTGTGTCACACTTATGATAGTTGGGAGTTTACATTTGTAATGACTGATTGATGGCTCTTTCCCTTTTCCAATAAGGTCTTTATAGAAAGTGAATGACTTTATGCACGTGACACACATATAACATAAAGACAATTGCTGTGCGGGAAATGAAAGAAAGCCAAAACCAGAAAGGGCCCCAGCTGACCAGGAACTCAGAGCCTTGACAGGACACATTCTTATACACAAAGACAAAAAGGCCATATAGGAAGCAGGCCAAATGAGTGAAACTGAAGGAATTCAGGGGAAGAACTAATTTCCATAGAATGAAGGAGTCCATGGCAACTTTACTGAGGAGGTGGTCTGCAGCTATCCTGATTATGTAAAGCTGTCCAGGAGACAGAGGCTTGTCCCACAGAAGGCTCAGCCAACCAACTTTTTGGGAGCCAAAAAGAGGAGGTAATGCTAAGAAAGACACGGTGAGGCCAGACTGTCAGTTTGACTTTAGCTTTTTAAAAAATAAAGATTAAAAAAAAAGAACGAAAGAAAGAACAACCATCAACAAAATGAAAAGGCAACCTAGGGAGGAGATATCTGCAAATGATATATTCAATAAGGGGTTAATATGCAAAATATAAAAGGAACATACACAGCTCAACACCCAAAAAACCTAATGATCCAGTTAAAAAATGGGCAGAAAACCTGAATAGACTTTCCCCAAAGAAGATGTACAAATGGACAGCAGACACATGAAAAGACTCTCAACATCACTCATCATGGAAATGCAAATCAAAACTACAATGAGCTATCACCTCACATGTGTCAGACTGGCTAAAATGAGAGAGAGAAGAAACAACAGGTGTTGGCAAGGATGTGAAGAAAGGGGAACCCTCATGCACTGTTAGTGGAAATGCAAACTGATGAAGCCACTGTGGAAAGCAGTGTGGAGGTTCCTCAAAAACTTAAAAATAGAACTATCATATGATCCAGTAATTCCACTGCTGTGTATTTAAACACAGAAAACAAAACACTAATTCGAAAACACTAGTATATGCACCCCTATGTTTATTGCAGCATTATTTATGACCACCAAGAGAGGGAAGTAACCTAAGTGTCCATGAATAGAAGAATGGATAAAGAAGATGTGTGTGTATGTATACATACATATACATATATGTGTATATAAATGTGTATATGTACACACACATGCACGTATATATATACATAAAATATCCCATGCAATGGAATATCACTCAGCCATTAAAAAGAATGAAGTCTTGCCATTTTGACAACACAGATGGATGTAATGAGTATTACCTTAATGAAATAAGTTGAGGAAAAAATGTCATATGATTTCATTTCATGTGCAATCTAAACAAATGAATGAACAAACAAAAAAAGGAGAAACAGACACATAAATACAGAGAACTGGGGGGACCTGGGAGGCTCAGTTGGTTAAGTGCCTGCTTTCGGCTCAGGTCATAATCCTGGGTCCTGGGATCGAGCCCTGCACTGGGCTTCCCTGCTCAGTAGGGAATCTGCTTCTCTCTCCCTCTTCCCCTCATATCTGCTCATGGTCTCTCTCAAATGAATAAATAAAAGATGTTTAAATAAATAAATAAATACATACATACAGAGAACTGGTGGTTGCCAGAGGGAGAGTTGGGGGATAGTTGAAATAGGTGAAGGAATTAAGAGGTACAAACTTTCAGTACCATAAATAAGTCATGGGGGGATGAAAAGTACAGCATGGGAAATATAGTCAATAATACTGTGAGAACATTGGATGGGGACAGATGGGGACTATATTTTTCATGGTGAGCACTGTATAATGTATAGAATCGTCAAATCACTATGTTGTACACCTAAAACTAATGTAATAATGTATGCCAACTTCAATTAAAAAATAAAATAAAAATGAAAAACAAGGTAAGGTTTTCGAATAGGGGAATTTGAAAGTAATTCTAGAAGACTAATCCATACACACACACACACACACACACACACACACACACACACATTTTTTTTCAGGCCCATATCTATAAAGCCAGGAACAAATTCCATCTGACAATAGCTTTCCAAATTCATAGAGTAACTGGAGGCCATTCTGAGCTAGAAATGACAGACACATGGCACACCTGGACAGAACTCTTTTTGAGGAAAACCATCTCTACTTCAGCTGCTGAGATATTTGCTGCAGTCAAGAATCTAAAAGCTGTGGCCTATCTAGAAGCAGCCCAGCCCAGGTATATGTGGGGCCATAGAATGATCTGGCTCTTATGTTGTAATGTGAGGCCCACAGCTCTACTCGGACCAGAACACATTTGAGCCAGCTGTGGCTCAAAGGAATTCCAGCTGTGGCTCAAAGGAATTCTGGTTTCCCAGTTCAATGTGGGAATTACCACCTCCAGAACTGGACTCTGCCCTCCAGCTCTGGCTCCCACTCCTCCAGGGGTCGTTCCATCTACTCAGAGCTGACAGGACTCAGGGCAGGGCCTAGAATGTCTTCCAACTAACTGATAAAGGAGCGTGGCTGTCTGGAATGACCCTCTGATGTGGCTGGCCAGTAGCCTTGATGACTCTCTCTCTGGCTGCTGCAGCTGGCTCCCAAGAAGTGGTACACTTCCTTTCAGTCCAAAAAAGTGCTCAGCAGCCCCTGATCAAAAAGCAAGTGCTTCCTTCAAGGACTTCGGGGGTCTGATTTTGGAGTCAGGAAGCCAACTTCAGTTACTCAGTGACTGGGGGTTCCCTAGAGCAGTGGTCTCCAAATGGGGTAGATGTGCACCAGGGTTACCCAAGACTGGAATCCAAAACAATTAAATAGAAATTAAGCTTTTTTGATATTAACTTTATGAAATCTTCCTCAGATTATTTTTCAGAAGATCATATATCTCGTGGACCCAAGGTATACTGAGGAAAATGGGCATTCCACAGGGAGTGGTGGACAGGGGCCTATGGAGACATGTTTCAGGTTACATGTGCCCCTGCTTAGGTGGATTATGGATCGTAGTATCTGAGGTCAATAAAATGACTCTCACAAAATGGACAAGTGGCTAAAGAAATTTCTGCAGAGGACTTCAGTACATGTAACACCAGCATAAGCAAACAGGAATATGGAGGAACACTTCTACTGTGAGAAACTAAACTCATTTCAGACACATAAAGAGCAAAAACAATCAGGATCTAATCAGTCAGAAATAGGTCCAAATAATTCCAAATTATAAAAATTATTTGAAATACGGATTTTCACCCACTGTCCATGATAAGTCTCTGTTTCATTATGGATCTGTATAGTCTGTGCTGTGCAGTATTGCAAACAATAGTGGGAACACATAATTAGTATGTATTTAAAATATTTTTGAGCTAATTCTTTATTTTTTTATTTTTATTTTTTTTAATTTTTTTTTAACTTTTATTTATTTATGATAGTCACAGAGAGAGAGGCAGAGACACAGGCAGAGGGAGAAGCAAGCTCCATGCACCGGGAGCCCGACGTGGGATCCGATCCCAGGTCTCCAGGATCGCGCCCTGGGCCAAAGGCAGGCGCCAAACCGCTGCGCCACTCAGGGATCCCTGAGCTAATTCTTTAAACACTTAAATATATTTTACGATGCTCATTCTTTAAATTTTCCAATTTTTGTATTTCGATATTAGTACACAATATATTAGTACATGACAGCGTGATGATAATAAAGATACTAGTTTAAGATATATAAAAGTTAAAATATTTTTACAATTTGGGGGCCATAGTCAGTAAAGCTTGGAGACCACTTAGAGGCAGCTGAGCAGCTCGGAAGCCCCCTCACGGTTCCCGTTTCTCACTCTCCCCCAAGAAGCCCAGGGCCAAGGACGAACCCCGTCCCACACCCAGCACAGTGTAGGGCGGAGGCAGTTCCCAGGAGCCTGTCTTCCCGGCCTCTGGCTCAGCCCAGGTGCACAGCGCCCCTACCTGATTGTGCCAGCGGATCACGTTTCCAAATCCCCCTGTCCCAAGTCGTTCTTTCATCTCCCAGGCCCCACATGTTTGGGTTGGCAGAGAAGGTGACCAGCTCATGCTGCTGCCGTGCTAACTCTGTAAACAATTTGGCGTAGGGGACAAAAGATCAAGGTTAAGAGAAAATGGAACTCAAGCAGACGGAGAAGCTAAGAGACAACACTGCCCTTCGGTGCGAGAGAGGAGCTGGTTTTCACTTTATAAATGAACCAGGCTGTCTGGTTTGGTTTTGGGTTTGGGTAGCCAACTTTTGTCACCCCACCCCCACCCCGCTCAGCCGTAAGGGAAGGAGGCGGGGAGGACAGTCACTCGGAGGCCCGCAGAGGGCATCCCCCGGACCGCAGCGAGGGCGCCCTGGCCCGCGCGCTCTGCCCTGGGTGGCCGGGGCACGCTCTCCGGTCACGTGTGTCCTCACACGGTCCGAACTAACCACGGCTCGGTCCCAGAGCCCCCGCCTCGAGGCGGCCCCCGGAGTCACCCCGGCTCCCGCGGTCCGCCCGGAGAGCCCGACTTCTCAGCCCGACCCCAGGCTCTCCGGGAGCCTCAGGGAGGAGGGGGCGAGCTCGCGGGCGCCGAGGGGCGCGGGGTCTGCCGGCCGCACCTGGCCCGCAGCCGCCCGAGGGACTCACCTGTCGGCAGGGGCGCGGGGCGGGGCAGCCGCTCCCCAGCACCGGGGAGGCGGGGGCTAGGGCGGCCAAACCGGGGGCTCTGGCACCTCCCCGAAGACATTAAAATGCGGGAATCTCAAACGGGCCAGCGCAGCGCCACTTCCTCAAACACTTCCTGCTCTGACGTCACGGGGCACGTGGGCCGCGCGCCCTTAAAGGAGCCGCCGCGCCACAGGGGGCCCGGGGGGGGGTCCTCGCCGCGGTGACCCGCCGGCGCGGCGCGCGGCTTCCAGCGGGCGCCCCCACACCCGGACAGGCGGTGCCCCTGGGGCCCTAAGGTGAACCCGAGTGCGCCGGACTCGGTACACGGTGACTGGAACCTGCGGCGGTTTCGGGGACGGGGGAGACGGGGATTTCCTCCCGGGAACCCTCCGGGGGGTAATGGACGCCGCTTCCTGGGCTGCTCCCTAGCTGGAATTTCCCGCGCCCGCCAGGGTTTCCTTTCGGCCTGCTGACACCTGCCCGGCCCCCCTCCTCCGGCTGCGTCCTCCGTCCGCAGGGCTCGGGGCTCGGGGCTCGGGGCTCGGGGCCCAGCACGACCAGTCACGGATGTGCTCCCAGGAAGCCACAGCCTCTACTACCTCCTTCAAGAAAAATGAAAGGAGGGAAAACCTCGTAGTGCTAACACGAAGCTGCAGCTTGCGCCGCAGTGATGCAGGCAAGTTGTAAGAGAAGCCGGCAGCCCTGAGGTTTGCCGGTCCGCTGCTACCTGCCTGACGTGGTAATAAGGTGTGCTGTGGAGTTTCCCAGTTCTGTGCCTTGTACTAACACCAAGCTGGTGTGTGTTGGTAGATTGACCCAAGCAGGAAGAATGGCGTTAGAGGAAACCTGAAGAATATAGCTCCCATTTATAGGATGCTTCCGAAGCGCCAGCTGCTGCCGACACACACTGTACTTAGAATTCCTTCTGCAGATCCCCAGGGCAACCCTCCACATCGGGAGGGACTGGATTCTTGTTCTTGTTATCCCCATTTTTTAAAAAAGATTTATTTACTTATGATAGACACACACACGCACACAGAGGCAGAGACACAGGTAGAGGGAGAAGCAGGCTCCATGCACCGGGAGCCCGACGTGGGACTCGATCCCGGGTCTCCAGGATCGCGCCCTGGGCCAAAGGCAGGCGCCAAACCGCTGAGCCACCCAGGGATCCCCTTGTTATCCCCATTTTATAGGTGATAAAACTGATGTGCAGATAGGAAAATATGTCCAAGTCACAGGCTAGTAAGTGGATGAACTGATAGTCCAACCCAAGAGGCTGGTTTTTAGGTCCAAGCTTTTAATATTTGATGAAAAGTATCATACTAAGAAATTCGGAAAGAGGCAAACTGGAGTTTGAATCCTCACACTGCTATTGACTGACTACTCTGAGATTTGGGGGCCAATTACTTAATCATTCCAAGCGTCTATTTCTCTCTTTTTTTTTTTTTTTCCAGATTTTATTTATTTATTTGACTGAGAGAGCACAAGGTGGGAGGGGCAGAGGGAGAAGCAGGATCCCTGCTGAACAGGGAGCCTGACACTCACACTTGCGGTTCCATCCCAGGACCTGGGATCATGACCTGAGCCAATGACAGATGCTTAATGACTGAGCCACCCAGGCGCCCCCATTTCTCTTCTTTAAAATGTGGGCAGTATTAGGTTGAATCGAAGGAAGTCGCCATTTTTTTTAGTAAAACAAAAACAGTTGAAACACGAGCAACAAACATCAGTGTTTTCATCTAGTTTAGCCCAAGAGCAGTAGGAGGACAGGAGGACACCAGCAGAGTTGTCCTAGACAGATGAGTTAATAATACCAATGGCCATGCCCAACACAGAGAACACCTGTCTGCAGAAAACCTGAGGCTGAAGTCAATTTAGGAACATAGTGACATGGTTTGTAGTGGTGGGTTACAGAGTGCACAGCCAAGAAAGAATTCTTCAGACATCTTTGATGCAAAAAGGTGGTTTTATTAAAGCATGGGAACAAGACCTATGGGCAGAAAGAGCTGCTGCCCCAGGATTGTGAGGAACAACTGATTATATACTTTGGAGATGAGGGAAGTAAAGACCAAGGGAAGTTTCCAAAAGGACTTTCATATACTAAAGAAGACTCACAGGATCCTGGAGGCCTTGCTGTTGCCTAGCCGAGGTTGTTTCTCCCTCTAGCAAAGCATTAACATTAAGAACAGTTGGGAGTTTCCTGGAGGCATGTTATACTCTGCTTGCCCAAGTGTTTGTCAATAGGCTGAAGGTTATAAGGAAATTTAGTTTCATCTACATTTCCTTCTGCCATTGTTCCCCACATCATTCCCCCTGAACAATTTTGACCCTTAAATCTTTAAGGTTGTCGAGGGTGGAAGGTCTCATCTTCTGTAACTTCTTCCTGCTGATAGGGGTACAGAGAGATGTCCCTACCTATGCGTCCGCATTGGTCAGTTGGGGAATTTATATACATAGGTGTTACCAAAGTCCAAGGTACACGACATATGTGTACCTCCCTGAGTAGAAAGGATCATTTATCAGCTGGAAGCTATGGCAGTGAAGTCTTGGCACCAGGCAAGGAGACAGGAGAAAAGACAACAAAATAAGGTTAATAGTATAGTGAGAAAGAGAAGCCCAATAAAAATGGCATTGATGGTAAACTAAAATTTTTCTCCTGCTCTTTATTGTCCTTTAAAGAGAAGTTTGAGATCTTCCACAGGTTCACGGGAATAAGAAGCCACATTAGTTTGCTCATTGGATTCCTGTGAAGGCAGTACAGGTTTTATACTTGATATAGAAGCTCATGAAGAGTACCTCTCTCATTTTATTTCAGTGGGAATACATAATATGACCCAGCAGGGGTCCTTCCATTTTGGAGTTAAAACCCCTGCTGTAAAAAAAAAAAAAAAAAAAAAAACCTGCTGTAAATAAACCATCTCTCTGGGGTTTATATGGGGTGGTTTGCTAGTGACTATCATATCAGGTTTAGAGAGAATATAGTTTGCATATTTATTTAGAAATTTATGAATTAACCCGGCCTCAGAGCATTATAGTCTCCACCAATTGCCTATAGTAACTCAAAGGGACTTAACCCTATTGGTTGTTTTGGGGCAATCCTCGCTCTGAGAAGCCCTACTGGTAAGAGAGTAATCCAGTTTTCTTGAGTCTCAATGCTTAAAATAGAATATCTACAAAGATGTGTTGTTTTTTTTTACAAAGATGTGTTATTGAAACATTTTCTCTATAGTCTGTAATCACCCTCATTTTATTCTTTTTAAGATTTTATTTATATGAGAGAGTGAGCATAATGGGGGAGGGGTAGAAGGAGAGCGAGGGAGAAAGAGAGAAGCCAAGGCAGACTCCCTGCTGAGCCTGACATGGGGTTCAGAGCTCTACCCCAGGACCCTGGGATCATGACCTGAGCTGAAGGCAGATGCTTAACTGACTAAGCCACCCAGATGCCCCTATAATCACCCTCATTTTAAATCAGAGATAGCCAATTCAAGACTAATTCATTTGAAAAATAAGTCCAGTTTTAACAAACTTGTCCTAATTATTTACGTAAGTTCAGCAAGAATAGTGATTGATATTATAGATCTTTTAGAATCTGCTTTGCTGGAACTTTTTATAAGGAATCTCTAGATTGAACTTTTAGTAGCCTCTCTAGGCCAGAAACTAAGCCAAGTACTTGCCATCAGACATGCCTGCAGTACCTGTAGATTTGGGCAAATTCCTCTCCCTGAGGTCCCCAAGGTATCCTGAAGTTCCCGCACCTGCCAGGAAGTGACATTCTTTACTCACCTGTAAGGCACCTGGAAACTTTGTGAGCAAGGTGTCAGGCCAACATTTCCATGAGGCTCTATTGGCTTCATGCTTCATAAAGTCAACCTTAGTTCCTTAAAGCTGCCTGGTCATATCTGAGTCTATGCAGTTCCCTCAAATATGACATTCCAGTCAAAGCCTTGGTAAAATACCGGTGTTTCCAATGATGTCCTGTTACAAGGAGAACAGATTCCTATTGAACTAATGCAAATGACCATGATTACCAAGAAGAAAGAATACTCACTGAGACCTTTTGAATTTCAGAGGGGTCTACTATAGAGAAAAGTTAAATGCTTCAATTTGTTCACAGAGGAATATTTTATCCCATTTCTGTACATCATGGATATCTTAAGAGAAGGTTTCCTTGATCTGGAAGAGCAAACATTTAGTGAACCACCAATGATTCAAACAGGAGTCGCAAAAGCCATAATCAATTCTTCAGTTCATTTAGTCCCATGTTACTAATTCTTGGTTCAGCGTGAATGCAGCTTTTACATGGAAGTCTTAAGGTGGGCAGCTGTCCTGGTGACTTAGGTGACTGGTGCCCAAGACAGACTACTTTGTATAAGAACAGATGAAGAGAAGGCATCAAGTTTCTGGGTCTTATTACCATTCTGGCAGGTACTAACATCCTGCCAAAAGGCAGAGTTTCTTCTCCTCATAGAGTAGCCGTGGGCTAGAGGATTGCAGCCGGAGCAATGGGCATGAAAGTGTACCAACAAGACTGTACTCCTTGGAGTGCCCGGGTGGCTCAGTGGTTGAGCGTCTACCCCAGGTTGTGATCCTAGGGTCCTGGGATGGAGTCCTGCATCGAGCTCCCTGCAGGGATCCTGCTTCTCCTTCTACCTCTGCTTGTGTCTCTGCCTCTCTCTCTCTCTCTCTCTCTCTCTCTCTCTCTTCTCTCTCTGTCTCTCAGGAATAAATAAGTAAAATTTTTAAAAAGTAAAAAGACTGTACTCCTTGAAGGCCTTTGGAGTGAAAGCAAAAGGACAAGAGATGAAGGATTCACTGACTTTGCACTGTGGCTTAGAGTCCAGTGAGAACACTTGAAGCCCCAGGTTGGGCACCAAAATGCTGTGGTTTCAAGTGGTGGGGTTTGGAGTCCACACCCAAGAAAGAAGTCTTGAGACATCTTTTGTGCAAAAAAAAAAAAAAAAAAAAAAGGTTTTATTAAAGCACCGGGACGGGACCCATGGGCAGAAAGAGCTGCTGCCCCAGGATTGTGAGGAACAAATGATTATATACTTTAGGGTTGTGGGAAGTAAAGACCAAGGGAAGTTTCCAAAAGGACTTTCATATAGTAAAGAAGACTCA